TGTTAAAACAGAATTAATCTAGATGAGTTAAAGTGTTCATTTGCTTTTTACAGATTCAAAATATCTTTAAAATAAGTCATAAAAAACCTGAAACAAAAATTTGCTGAAAGTGAAAAAAAAGTTGAAAAAATGAAGAGAAAAAAATTTCAATTTTAAATGACAATATCTTTATTTATTTGACGAGATAAGGAAATTGTTGTACTACATTTTGAATACTCACTAATAATGATTGTTCTCTGAAAGTTTCAGTGCAATCAATAGTGAAACAACTTCAAAATCCTAATTTAAAAATTTGAAGTGAAAAACTTGTCTTATGCGTTTCTAGTCTAAGTTGAAACGCCTCTCTATGTATAAAAATCGGTTAAATTTTTGTGCTGAAAATAAAAATAAAAGAAGAATAAATCTTAATCTTTAGTCAGTCTTTTTATTGGAAGAAAAGAAAATTGAAATTTCCACTTCAAGGGCGGGCGTTCGGACATACGTATTGGTAATGTCCCTTCTGGTTGCATAAACGGCAGATTGCATTAATGGCTGGACAATCAAAGCCGAAATGAATTAAGATTCCGCAACGAGGACAACGTTGAATGGGGCGAGTTTGCACTCGCACGTTGCTAAATTCTTTAACGGAATGTGGAGTTGTAGCAGTAAAACTAAATACAAAAGAAAGAAAGAAAAGAGAAAAGAAAAATATAGAATAATTTTTTTTTTATGTCCTACTTACGAATATTCATATTCGGGATCTGCATTATTATCGAGTTCGTATGCGATAAGAGGTCGCGGACGAACGGGAACGGGTTGCTGATGAACTGATGGTGGACGAACAATGCCGGGTACAGGTTCGTCGGGAACAACTACAGGTTCAGCGGGAACAAAAACAGGTTCGACCTGAGCAGCAACAACTCTGGAAAAAGAAGACGAAAACAAAGAAAATTGTGAAACAAAATGGAGAAGACAAAGTTAAAATGAACTCACGTGTTGTTGAGTTCTGAATCGGTGTCAGAACTATTTTCGGATGGTGAAGGCTTAACGAGATCACTTTCAGCAGCTCCAGCAACATTCTCGGTTGAAGTTCCGGTTGTTTTCTTGGAGGGATCATCGGGTTGACAAGGTCTGAAAAGAAGAAAAGGAAATTAATAAATGAAATTAAGAAATGAGTCAACGGAAATCGGGTTTATGGTTAATAATGATACCTACATTAGAGGTGGCATATCGAAATCGGGTGCGAAAGCACGAAAGAAAGCGTTGACTAAGTCAATGTGGACGCGGTAGTAGTCGTCGCGGCTAGGAAAACATACGAATGACAATATGTCAGTAAAAGTACAAGAAAATAATTTTTAAGGTCAAAGTTGGTACTTACCCACTCATTTCACAAAAGAATTCTTTTAAAGTCGTCAAACAAAAGAAACAATTTTTTTTAATATTAATGGTCAACTGTTTTACACAAGTTTTCGATCACGAATGAGAAGCAGGGTGTTATTGTTTCTCATTTTTTTTTCTTTCGTTAAAAGGGGGGGTGTACCGGTATGAGGTACTAGATTACCCACACCGACAGCGGGCGGGGTACGAGGATACACTCACACTGATAGTCAGTTGATATCGGATAGCCATCGGGATCGGACACACCGTACACTGGTGTCAGCGCTTCGGGCAAAATTGACAAACTAATCTTCGTTCTCTTTTATGAACATTTCTAATGTGCGTTTTTTAAAGTTTCTCTTAAGCTAAAGCTCTTGCTACAAAAACAGCTGTGTGGTTTTTAGTCCTGAGTGTTTATGTTGCATATGAATTTTTAACCCAATAGCTGATGAAAGCATAGAAGGACATAAATTGCACTGGTGGAATTCTGTAAATATTATATATAAGTATATAGAGAGGCGTTTGGGTTTAGACTGAAGAATTACATTTTTTGACTTTGACACTTAATAACTTTCTATTCCTTTTACCAATAAAAATGAGTCTGTCATCAAAAGTTTCCCAGACTAATAACTA